GCATTTTGCCTTTGAGGGGGAGCATAAGATGCGAAGTTCTGGTTAAACATGATGTTCTAACATGTTAAGAACTAGATATTCTCTTGTTCGTTGTGTTGAAGAAGTTTCCACCAGCTATAGCTCTGATCTTTGTTGTTTTTGTTCCGTTGTTATGCCTCTGATTGATTAGATGCTTGAGTTTTTCAAATGATGTATCTGCTTATGTGTGGAAGATGTGCTATGTTATTTTAGCCAAAATAAGCCAAAGGGGAAGATTTTTATTTATGTGTTTTGCTATGATTGACATTATATTTGGTAAAACTAACTTAGCTTTGACATGTTGAATAAAATGGTTCTATGTACTAAAGCAACATGTCTTATATGATGTCATATGCATGCTCTTTCGACATCATGTTTATGAACAGTTGAATTCTTGGATATTCTGATTTGTTACAAGTGCAGAATATTTTATGAAGATTGTGCTATCCTATGTGGCGCTCAATTTGAAGATTGAAAAGGATTCAAGCTGGTTTCAAGGAGAATTGGTAGTTAATAATTATGGAGATATTTTAGGAAACTAATGATTGATGTCCTATCTTTGAGGAGATGATTTTGCAGTGCCTATTACTTATCCAGTAGGGATTTGTGAAGCCCAAATCCGGTTCTATGAAGTTTATAAATAGAAGGCTTCAATCCTAGTTGTTTTCACAAACTTACACTGTACTTTTTTATTAGGGTTTGTATGCTTATTGTGAGCTTATCGATTATCATGCTGATAAAAGAGTAGGACTTTTTTGTTTTAAGTTATGTCAATCATTCAAAAGCTTGTAAGCAGAGAATGATTATGTGTCTTTGAAGTGTGACTTTTGTGTTCGTCTAAGTGTTTAGAATTGTTCAGTCACTGGTTTGTGATTGGAAGGGATTTGAGAAGGGTCACATACCTAGGTAAGACTTAGGTAGAAGTTAAGCGAGGGTAGTGATTAAGTGAGAAGTTGTAAACGAGGGAGTTTAGATTCGAATTGATACTATTAGTAGTTAACTTGGTCCCTGGCTTGGTAGCCCCCAAAGTAGGTGTTGGTTTACACCGAATTGGGATAAAAATCTTGTGTGTTCTTTACTTTTTTTCACTTTGATTATCGTTTATCTTGTCATTGCATGTTTGTTCATAAAAAGGTGTCTCGACATCTTTTAGGATATTTGTGATCTGAATACAAGAATTTCATTAATGTAATAACTTGGAGTGCGTACGACATTACTAAATATTCATTCTATACAAAATCAAAGGATAATTGTAGTTTTGTGCAAAATATTAGGGTTATGGTTGAAGCTTAATCTAGATGCTTCTCTAGTTCGAAAGGTATAAAACATGTACTAGCATCTAGAGTGTATTTTGGGGTCATTGAGGAGATTGATTATGTTACTTTTAAAGTGTCTTTATTTAAGTGTAAATGGATTGACAATAATGCTGGTGTAGAAACCAATGAATTAGGATTCACACGGAACATCTTCGATAGGCGACTTATATGAACGAAATATTTATTATGGCATCTCAAGCAAAACAAATTTTTTATGTCACTGATCCTTCTAACAATATATGGCCAATTGTTCTATAAGGAAAATATATTCCTGATAGTGATGAAAATCAAGATTTAAATTTTGAGACCCCTTCTTTCGTAACACATGTACGTCTCTTACCCGAAGAAAATTATTTAGATGATATGCATGTTATTCGTCATGATCATCAATAGAGGGTAAGGGAAAACTAGTAAGTAAATGTTTTATATCACTTAGTAATGTAAATTTACTCATATAGCTTTTTATATTATTTTTACTAAAGATTTAATATTGTTTTTATTTATAATCTTAATTCATTTCAAATTTGGTTAAAATTATAGGTGCTTAATGACCGGGGATAAATCACAAAAGATAACTTTTGAACGACCTAATGGAATTTTCATTTTGGTTATTGCTTTGGTTGGTTAATCATTTGTTTTAGTTTTAATTTGTTTTAAAGTTATAAGGTGTACATGTGTCATTTTGACTTTGTAAATTGTGTAAAGAATGAATATTTTTGGTACAATTTCTATTTGAGAAATGGGCAAAAAGGTACAATGTTTATGTTTCAGAAATGTCCAAAATATGGTTCTATAATACAAGTTCAAACAAAAATATAGAAAGAAAAAAAATCAAATTAACAATTTTTCCCCTTGGTTATTATAATAAACTGAGGTATTCTCTATTACCTCGTTGTCTCAAATAACCGGGAGGAAATGTAGGGTGCGTCATCTAGTTCTGTAAATAATAAAAATGAAGAAGTTAGTGATTGAACCCATGGGAAGAACACTTTACTTCTTGGTTATTTCAAAATTGAGTAGTAATGTGACAAGTTTTCATGACGCCCTTTGTTACCGCGCCTATGTAATCGAGGTTATAACCCATTTGCGTCCGAGGTTAAATCCGTTTTTTGTAGTTGTGAATCTGAGCCTGTTTTAATTTCTTTATCTCCTCAATAATTGTTGCCCACTTTTCTTCTCCCTATTTAGGCTTCCTCTAGACAATCAGTTTGAAGTCGGGTTCGATGGCAAGATGGTGAAATATTATATCAGCATCTATGTCAGGCATATATGTGGGTGCACAACAAAACAAATCTACATTCTCCTAACGCAATTGTAATATGTTGACCTCCCGACTTCTCTAATAGAGGTTTTTCATCTAGGTGGTCTATGAACTCTTATGACCTATTTGCACGGTATTCAAATCTTTTGTTGGTACTAATTTTTCCTCTATTTACTACAATCTTGGGTCTAGGTCTACAAAGTTGACGTTGTGGGAGATGGATAAATAATTATTTTTGCCTTTCTTTTAATCTTCAATTTATCCTAGTAGCATCTCAAGGACACCTTTTGATTTACATTCATTACACCTACCAGCCTATTATCCAGGGGATACTTCATGTTCAAATAGAGAATTGACAAAACTAATGAATAATCTTTCTCGTAAAGTCCCTATAACTTGATATTGATAACCTAGTAAGAGTTGTATACCATCATAGAACTGACTCTATAAAAGTCACACAAAGAATCTTACACTTGAGCAAGTCCATTGCGTCAATAATCACCATATAGGTGTAGATAGAGATGATGTATTATCGGGATCACTCTTTCCATCAAACATTATTAGAGATGGAAGCTTGAAATTGGCTAAAACAGAGACATCCCATATCCCGACACTAAGAAGTTAGGGATCCATGGATTCTTCTTTCTAGTCAATAATTGGGTGTGATAGTTGTTGCATCGGGTCACCGACATTTCCCTGTAATATTTCATTTTAACAATGCAACTCCTTCATAGTGGCTAGCATTTCACTTATGGTTGTTTGATTGTTGGTGGTACTACTGGTGAGAGCCCTCACCATCGTGAGATCGAATCAAGACTGATGTGTGTGGCCCATATCAATTTTACAGGATTATATAGTGGACACAAAAAGTACTTTTAAAATAGTACACCTTTGTAACTCTACTACCGAGAAACTAATAAATATTTAGTTGTATCAAATTTATGAATTACTCTCCTTTCTTCGTTCTTTTTGTATGTCTAAATATGTTCGAATAACCTACATGATTATGGCTGTTTAATCCATTTAATGACGTTATCTCTTTATCTAAGTCTGATCATTATCGCCATTATTGTTATCAGCATCATATCAGCCGACTCGAGTTAGTCTCCAGGTTTAGAGTCGTGCTGACCTCGAAGTTAATGGGCGCACATTTATCTCTTTTGACGGGCTCTTACAACCTTGTTTGGTTCATTTCAAGTCGCCCCATCATTTATGGGATGCTCTGCAAGGCGTTGACGTGACTCCTGCTTAAGGTTGATCTTACTGAGGCTAAGTGATCTTATGTAAAACTAGACATACCGGTACACAGTCACCCAACCATGAAGATAGCGAAATATTACAATTTTTTTACAAATTTGTAACATCAAATAGATTTTTTAATATGTTAGTAGGCTAGACTCGATTTAAAAAATAAAACTCAAATTTAAAATAATTTTTTTGACAATTAATAAGTTAGATTTAGCGAGTGTTTGGTTTCACTTCTACTGGTCTCAAACACACGTCTGACTCTCCTTCCACTGTGATTTCAAGAAGCTCCAAAAAGTAGCTTTTAGTTCACCGTAAAAAATCCACCATGCTTTTGCCATTTATATAGTGTATCCAAACACATGTTTGAATTGGCTTCTATAAGTCCCAAAAGCACTTCTAGTCACCTTCAATTTCAAAATTGTTTTTTTTTCTTGTTTGGGTACTTTTTCAAAATCAATTACTCCTCCAAAAGCAATTTTACTAGAAGTTAAAATTCCCCGCTTTTGAGTTTAGTAGAATCAATTTTACATTAATTGTTACAACTCTTTTTAATTTTCCTTTATTACCCTCTTTAATATTTATAAATTACTTCTTTTCTTTTTTTATTTGTATTAGAATTTATTATTATTTTGATAATTATATTATTCAAAATCAATTTTGATAAAATTATCCGAACAACATTAATCGATAACAATCACTTCTATATTATTGTATCCAAACTTAAATCAATTCTATTAAATTTAATTATATTAAAATTAATTTTATCAAATTCAATTTTTTTCAAAATCAATTCTCTCCACCACCAAACCACCAATATAGAGGAGTTAACTTTTTAAAATAAATCTCATTAATTTAAACAAAGCTGACTCATTCCGACATATTCCTTCTCCTACTCACAAGAAACAACGAAGTCATTTCTATAAAATATCTGTATGGACGGTTTTACCCTCAAGAGATCTTCTGCGAAAGTCAGAGGCAACTAAGCAAGTAGTTCCAACTCCAAATCCAACACATCTCTCACTCACTTCCTTGTCTTCTATCAACACTCTCTCCTTCTAGGAAAACACTCTCTAATCAATTCTTCTCCCTTTTCTCTTCCTTTATATACCCTGCTTCATCACTTTTATCCTATCTCACTCTCAATTTCTATATCCAACATGGCATCACAAACCCCACAACACTCTCATTTCCATGATTCCCTTCCTTTCATGGCCAACAAGCTAGGTGGAGATGGTCTAATAGATGAACTCTGTAACGGGTTCAACCTCTTGAAGGATTGTGATAAAGAGGTCATCACTTTTGAAAGCCTGAAGAGGAATTCAGCTTTGTTGGGATTAAATGGTTTGAGCGATGAAGATCTTTTTTCCATGGTAATGGAAGGTGATTTTGATGGAGATGGTGCTCTTAACCAAATGGAGTTTTGTGTTTTGATGTTTAGATTGAGCCCTGAACTCATGGAGGGGTCTCAATTGTGGTTGGAAGAGGTCCTTCAACAATAACTTCAACATATTTTTTATCTTCTTTGTTTTCAACTTTTGGAAATTGTAATATACATGTGTGACTCATGTGATGTAAAACATTTTGTCGTTTATATTACTAATTCGATTAGTATTTTTTTAATCAATTAATTTGATTAGTATATAATGCTATTTTAGTCAATGTTTTAAAATTTGGGCAGATGAATAACAGGCCCAATTGCTAATTTTATTTAGGTTTAATATTTTTTTAGTTCTATATTATTTTGATCTTTAACTAAAAAAAATGCATATTAATTCCTTAATTCTTAAAAAAGAAACATATTAATTTTTTTTATTTAATTTTAAAGAGTTAAAAGATTAATATAAATATTTTTTTTAAGGAATCAAAACAAAATGAACGCGGAGAGAGATAAAAATATATATTAAACCTTTAATTTGTATAAATTAAAATAAAAAATATTTATAAAATAATATTTTTTATATAAATATCATAATTATAAAATATATAAAAAATATTATAAAATTATTTATAAATAAGTGTAATAACAATCTTACATGAAGATTGAGTTGTTTCTCCGCGAAACAATTGTTAGCCTCTTATAAAAGGTTATTTGCGGGATCGGCTACAATAACTCAGACTTTAGTGTTTAAGGTGTTTTTTGGATTGAAAAAGGGATAAAAAAAGGAGCAAAAGACAAAAACAATTGCAATATAAATAAATCAAAGACTGTAAATTGCTATAAATTTAAAATGTGGAAGCATTCATACATTGTTAAGCGCGAACTCGTTTCTCTCTTAGATGCGGGTATTTTGAGTGTATGGCTATTAAATGTGAAGAAATGCGACCCCTAACACAAATGCAAAAATTTTCTTAAATACACATCCTAACTATGTAATAGTCGATGGTTAATAGCCCATTTTTGGGCTTCGTGGGGACTGTTTGAGTTTTCCTACATTCCTGCTGACTCTGCACGTTGATAATTGTTCTCGCCAGTATGCATTTTCCCCTTAGCTTCTTCGACCTTTGTTTCTGTCGACCGCTGCCTAATGGTCTACCTGCCTTCGTCGACTGGCCCATTTGGTCGACGTGGTCTCCATGCTTGATGCATCTGGTTGTTTTCTTCTACTATATGCCCCTTTGGCCAAATGTATCCCCATAACTTTAGGGTTATCCTATAGTCGAAAATTTGCTTGTCAACAAATTGCCCCTCAAAAGGACATATTCGGCGGAGTCCTGTTGATGTGAGAATCTTGGCATTTTCTTTTTTGCATTTTCGACTGTTCGTCGCTCTATAAGGATGATGTCACGCGTGATAATGATTAATTTTTGCGCAACTGTTTCCCATGTCACTTCAATCACTTCTCATGATTACTCCTAGTATTTAGGGTGTGGGTTTCTAACAAACCCCGCTAACTTTTCTACTTCTTTTGGCATGCTCGCGCTATTCAAGCGACATTTGTTCTGATCTTGACGGTTATTATTCCTCTTTAAATAGTCTTTCGAGAACATATCGTTTCTTTCTTCTGCTTCAGTTTCCCAACTTCCAACTCTTGAAATTTCTAGAGAAACTTCTTCTATTCTTTGCAATAGTCACTCCAGCCGATATCTCCTTTACCGGTGATAACCTCATAGATTATTCTATCTCTGAAAAAGAAAGCTTGAACTTCATTCCAAGTCCTCCCACTAAGGTGAAATCCAAATTCCAGATATGGCAACACCAAATGTTGATCCCTTTTGTTGTTGCGGGGAAACTTTTCGCATTCCATTGTCCTTACCTAGGTCCAAAAATGAACTCCAAAGCGGTCATTCAATATTTTCCCTATTTTCTTCCTACTATCCCTTCTGCCTTTAATCATACAAAACCTATTGATGCCAGGTTTTTGGTTTCTTAGAGATGTGTTTCTTGATTAAACTAGTTATTACTTTGTTGGAAGCTTCGACCTAACCATTGATTTAAGCATAATAGGGTGTGGACGTTACCAACTTGAAACCTGTTTCTGATACAAACTCTTGCATCTTTCTCCCAATAAACATTGATCCTTGGTCTGTAGTAATTGTCTCAGGAATCCCAAATCTATAAATGACATGCTTCTGAATGAAGTCATTCACTGGTTCCTGGTCGACAATGACCAATGACACTGCTTCTATCCATTTAGTGAAGTAGTCTATCCCTACTAGAATGAACTTTTGTTGTTTCGACGAGGTTGGATGAATTTCTCCTATGACATCTAGCGCCCAACCTCGAAACGACCATGGCTTAATGATCATGTGCAATTTTCTTGCAGGTACATGTTGAATTCCTGCGTGTTTTTGGCATTCCTGACAGCCTTTAGCAAACTCAATATAATCTTTCAACATACTTGGCCAATAAACACCCTGTCGGAACAACAACCATTTCATTTTATGGCCAGCTTGGTGAGCCCTACAGGATCTACTATGGACTTCTACTATTGCCAAATATGCTTCAGTATATCCTAAGCATTTAAGCACACCTCCAAAATTTGCACACGTCTCATCTTCCTTCCTAGTTTTTGAGACTGATGAAACAACCGGCCGGACAGCCATCTGATATAAAATCAATAAAGTCACCACCGAACGTCTTTTATCCCACCGAAAGGGAAAGGTGAACATCGATAAGACCTGAAGGGGTGAAATCACGGTCTTGTGGCCATATAGATCGGGTAAGGAAGCATGTTATGCGAGGGGAAGGTATTAGCACCCCACACACCCGTAGTACTCTACGGTATCCACTCTTGTTGTTCCAATCTAAAGGGTGTGGTCAAAAACTATGTCTAAGGCTTAAAAGCTAAAAAGAAAGATGCAAAGGGAGGATACATGCAAAAGAGTAAACACGGGGAAAAGAAGGAAATATTACAAAGGTCGCTCGTCTGAGCCCCGTGACCAGATGCCTGTGTATCCCTTTTAAAGAATCAGAGCATCGTAGTTCGGATCGATAGTTTCCATTTGTTTTTTTTTATGAATAATGCTTTGAGAAGCATTCCCTCTTTGAAAAGAGTTTTAAAAGAAAAGCCACAAGCGGCAAAAAGATGTTTTTTAAATGAAAAGCCACAAACGGCAAGAGAATGCAAATTGGTTGGTGTTTTTTTACCTTAGAAAAATATTTGAGTGAAGTTAGAGTACTTTGACAAGTTCTAAAGAAAAATAAGTTTTAGTTTTAATGCAGATGTAAAAAAGAAAGAAAAGACTAAGGGAGACTAGCAAAATAGCCCTAAAGTTGTCATACAATGTTGATCTATAGTTGAAGATAAGAGAGAAAAACATCTACCTAATGTTGGCATACATGGATACAAGTCTAAGGTCTATTTAATTCAAACTTAGAAAAGAGTGAATTGAAGATCCTATGGGGGGCATACAAGAGGTAGCAAATAAAGAAGGGGTAGGGATGATAAACATCGCACAAAGATGACAAAACATCAAGAACATGTATCTAGTATGGATGACAAAACATCGCAAAGCCAACAAAACATCATATATGATAACAAAACATTGCAAAGATGATAAATCATCATAGAAGCAAACATATAAGACATGGGGAAAATGGAACATACAAAGCATGCAATGGGAATTACGAAAGGAGGCAAGAGACGTTGTTTAATTTAACAAGTAAAGATCAAAAGGAGAGAGAGCATAATTGGATAATTATTCCATGTGTGACTTGTATAGTAAGTTAACTCGAGATGAGACTCAAGAACAACCAAGTAAGAAGAAGAAACTTCCAACACAAGAAAAGTCACCTAATTGATGAACAAAATCATCTAAGATGGATAATACTTGTCTTAAATCAATAAAAAATTGATAAAGCCCAAGTAAAAGTGCAATGACATCTTGTATATCACGGGGTGATGATGATACCCTCACAAGACATCAATCATGAACTTAAAGACTCGAGTAATGTCAACAAGATAACATACTCAAGTGTCATGATATATGGCAAAGTATAGTCCCTTGATGCGTAAAAGCAATGTTATTTAAATAATTTAAAGGTCAATGCTCTTAGATGTTATGGGCAGTCACCAACATCGAGATACATACAAGGGACGTGGCATAAAAGCTCATGAGGCAATCACTAGACAGTGATGCTCAAAACACAAATGGAATATATCTTCTCATATATCACCACGTTAGTTAGTAATGAAACACTTAACCAAGAATCAAAGAAGCTGGAGAAATAATATGAAAAGGATATGATAGAACATTAACACCTGAAAATGATATTGAGGATTAAAGTAGGATAAGAAATGATGATGAAACATCATATGACAAGACATACACCTAACAATGATATCGACAATCAAAGTAGGATGAAAAATAAGAGATGGTAAAACATCACACCTAACAATTATATTAAGAATCAATGTAGGATAAAAGATATGAGATGGAGACTTGGACAATCACACATCGTACATGATAAGTAGAGACTTACTCAAGATGTAAGGTACTTGAATAGGATACCTAAAGAAAAACATGCTTAGATAAGCAAATAAAGAAGTACATGCACGTAGTTAGACACCTAAGCAAATAGTCAGGTAGAAGAAGAGATAATATTTAAACAATCAAAGCATGTTTACAAATGTAAGACTTTTAATCATGCAGCTATATGCAGGAACGAGAAGTAAAGAGAGGTATGATGATACCTAACGGACAAGGTTTGTTTCCCCTTCAATGCGCATGAGATAAGAAAACTCTACCGAACGCTTCCTTGGACCTCCTCAATCAACCATCAATTAGGCATACCCGAGTTGCATCAACGATCGATCGCAAAATCAAAGCACGAGCGTCCACAAGATAAATGGAATGCTTGGTATATAGGGGTTGAATCGATTTATGATTAACAAGGGGTGTACTTGATTAATCTTGTGAGAGTAGGTGCTCCTACCCTTAACCATGAGACCTTTTATGCATGGAAACACTTGGCATATTGACCAAAGTGATTGATTCAGGTTATGATTAATCAAGGGCAATACTTGATTAATCTCGTGAGAATGGTCATGCCTAAACT